CCTGACGCGGAAGACGTGGACCCCCTAACGGTCCAAAGAGAACGTCGAAGAAGGATCGCGACTGCTCAGGACGAGGAGTTACGGTAGGCGAATTTGAAGACAGTTCTCCGCGGGGAAGAATCCCTCTGTGCATCCGAGCCTCCTAGAGTCTCGGGACCAGAGCGAGCACTGTACGCCAAGGGGTGAAAGTTTCACCGACTTCACCACAGGCCTCTGAGGAGTGACCAACAGCAAGAAGACGCGATGCTGCGTCTAGTGGTACCCTCAACGATGATTCAAGAGGTACTGCAGAACTGTCACGACTCGTTAGAAGGAGGCCATCAAGGGATCGCTCGGACTTTCTACAGAGTGAAGTTGGATTATTACTGGATCGGTCTATACGCGGACGTAGCGAGGCACGTGCGGTCCCGTCCCGATTGTAGCTCAAGCAAAAGTCGACCAACGATCTGCGGATACTCCCCGGGGAACATACTAGCGGAACGACCGTTTCAGGTTGTTTCGATGGATTTTGTAATACCCTTACCGAAGTCTCGGCGGGGTAACACAGCGCTCTTACTATTCCAATGCGCATTCACGGGGTATGTGATGAGGCAGACACGACTGCTCTGAGAGTAGCCCAAGCTGTCGAAGAGAAGAGTGCGTATACCGGAGGTTCGGTGCACCTTCCCTCATCAGGCATGACAGGGACCCTCGATTCATGAGCGAGGTGTTCCAGTCGTTCACCGAAATGATGCAATCAAGGTCTAGGGCAACGCTGAGCTACCGGCCTCAAGCCAATGGTTAGCAAGAGCGCTCGGTTAAAACTGTCATGCAATCAGTGCGTGTGTACGCGGAAGACCCACTGCAACAAGACTGGGACGAGATTGCCGAAAAGTTGCTGATCTTCGCGATCAACAACTCAATGGATACAACGAGGAAAGAGACACCTTTTTTCCTCGTCCATGGGTGGGACGCTCAGTCCACACTCAAGGCGATGTCCTCGTCGCTCAAACGAGGACTCGGTCGACAGTCAGATGCACTGGCATGGCGTCGAGAAGTGAACCGCCAGCAAGAAATAGCATTGAAACTGGCCAAGGAATATCAGGCCACCGAGAAAGTTCGGAGAGCAAAGAAACACAATGAGAGCCTCCGTGGCCGAGAAAGAGGTACAGCCGCAGAAACAGGCCGAACCGTTACGCCAAGTGACGAACGGTCTGCGACAGGGGCAGTGACCGAGGACTCGGACAACATTGCTACAGGCGCAACGAGGTCTCTTTTCGAGGTCGGGAGCCGAGTTTGGCTGTACATGGAACGAGTGAAGCCAGGATTGACGAAAAAACTTGCACATCGATGGCATGGACCGTTCAGGATCAAGAAGAAAGTAGAAGAGTTTGCCTACGAGCTCGAACTCCCCGATCGAAGCGGGTACAGATTTTACCCGGTAGTGCATGTGTCACGTCTAAAGATGGTAGACGAATTTGGAGATCCACCGAGTGCTCGTTTGACACGAGACGCAAACGAGGCTACGCGACTAGATTTTGACGAGGCATTACTCCCAGAAGATAGTTGGGAACCAAATCATGTCGCGGGTGAATTCGAATTTGAAGCGATACTAGATGATAGGACCCCTCTGTCCACTAGCACTGAACGTGCCGTCAGAGAGTTCAACGTGAAATGGGTCGGCTATGACGACCTGACGTGGGAACCTGCATCTAATCTCTCGTGCGGTGGTCTATTATATGACTATCTCCGAGA